CAATTATTATTATAGTCAGACTTGCTGATTTTGACCAATTCAGATTTTTCTTTTTTCTTTTTTATCAACACAAGAAAAATCAAACAAATAAAGGAAGTACAAAACCATTCTCATCTAATTCCCTTGAACTCCTATTTCAGACTATGTCGTGAGCGGTGGATTTATATTTATAATCTGCTGCGTCGATGAAGTTAGCAATCCAATCCTGCAAGTAGATCTAAAGTAAATTAAGTCACTAAAACTATTCATTTAGCTGCTTTTTTAAACTGTAGGGAAAAAACAAAACAAAGCTAAATAAAGTGATAGAGAAAGTGCAAACAATTTCTAAGACGACTACAATTGGAGTTTTGCATTTTAATGGATAAAAAATTCGTATTTTCAAAGAAGATATCATAATTTAGAGTTTTTAACTCTCTACACTGCTTACAGATTTACAGAAGTCAATAAATAGCAAGTAACTAAAGCCTCACTATTTGAAAACTTATTCAGAGGGAACTTTAAGATGCTGCAAACAAAAGTTAGTATTGTAAAAAAAAATATATTACTGCTGCTTCTGTTTGCTTAGATCGTTTCTAAATGCGTTTGCAACACAAAACAACGACTTAGTCACAACACTACCAATTGAGCAAACAAATGCTTGTGAGCTTGAGTGTGTGTTCCTCTTGTGAAACCTCAGCGGTTGTTTCAAATCAATACATTCCTCAGACCACAAAACAAAAACAGTGCCCTATAAAAGAGCACAGGGCTGAGCCGAAGGACAAGATTAACGCGATCCTCCAGAGGAATGGCTGTTTGGTTTTTATTTTCTCTCATTTGTTTACAGTAGTAAGATTCTGTCAATGTGGCGATCATCCAGTACAACAAGCGTGCTGAGAAGTGCCCCCGCATTCGCAGAAACATCCATGCACATGCAGAGTTTAACTCTTTAAAGGGCAAGGTACCGTTTTTGATCACATGCATACCCTTTACAAATGAAATCCCCGTCCCTCAGTGAGGTCTAGAAGCACAAGATCTATAGCCAGGCATTCAGCAAAGATCCTGCTACATAGATGTACATCTTATTACAGCATTTGACCAATTAGATGAGTCCTTGAATGATAAAATACTGTCAATTAACTCAACTCAACCTTTATTTATAAAGCACATTTAAAACAACCGGGGTTGACCAAAGTGCTGTACAGGAATCACAGTTAAGGAACATAAGATAAAAACTGAAGGCTAAAATACATAAACACATATAAATCGAATAGGAAAAATGTTTCAATAAAAACACATTTTAGAATAAAATAAAATTTAAAATAAAATAAAATTTGCCAGGGAGAAGAAATGTGATTTTAAAGAGGATTTAAAAACCTCTTCCCTGGTTGAAGAAAAAGTTAAAAAGTTAGGAAAAAGGGTAAAAAGCTAATTGGAAAGTTAAAAAGTTAAATGAAAAAGTTAATAAGCCTACTTAAAGATTATAATTAGGTTTATAAACTAAAAAATATCTAAGTGCCAGTATCAGCAATATGATGTGTATCATGTTGTTCCAAAAATAAAATGTGTTTCTTATAGAAACACTTTCGTTATTTTCTTAATATATTCAGGCAAGTTGTTGTTTCTTGTTATTAGTATTGCATTAATTTTTGCCATCCAGATACCCATATTTTTGAATGCTACAAATGTAATAAGGATTTGTCCTGGATTCCAATAACACTTTAAGCTTGAAATTTGGAATTTTTTAAAAGTATTTCATTGAGTGCCCTTTAAAAGGTTAACCCTTTATAATGAAGTACTTAAAAAAAAAATCAAAATTTCGATAAGAAATTCACACAAAAAAAACACTCAGAGTGAAAGAAACACTTTTTTTTGGTACGACTTAACCTTAGAGGCATTAATGCTAATACTGGAACTTACATTTTTGCAGTTTATAAACCTTAATATAATAGTAAACAAGGCTTATTAACTTTTTAACTTTTCAATTAGCTTTTTACCTTTTTTCTTGACTTGTTAACTTATTTTTCCAACTTTATTTACAGTAGATAATCCATCATTCAAGGAATCATCAACAGCCATGTAGCAACATCTTTACTGAATGGCTGGATATAGATCTTGTGTTTCTAGACCTCACTGAAGGATTTGGGGGGACTCCATTTTTAAGGGGTAGGCAAGTGATCAAAAACGGTACCTTGCCCTATAAAGGGTTAAAACAAAGATTGTTTTGTTGGTAAGGAAGGAGGGGGGGCATTACAAATGTCATCTGGTTATTAGCAGAAAAGCTGATGTGCAGAAATGGAGGGCAGTTCTGACAAACCGGTTAAGTATCGAGGAAAAAAAAAAAGAAAGGCGGCGTTCAAACTTTCCAGCCGTGAAACACCGGATGAAAACAAGCGATCATCGCGAATGAAGAGAAGCTCGAGCTCCAATCTGCCACATCTGCCTCAGCTAGCCACAGTTTAAACCTCTGCTCTAGTTTATGACTAAGCCTAAACATTTAGTATCAATGTTTAGAAAACTGGAGAAATGGCGGATCTATCATTCTTTTTGTCTTACTTATTTGCAATCTACTTTTTTAACGTTTCGTTATTAATCGAATCGCTAATTTAGCCAGTAAGCTAAAGCTAGTAACATCTAAATATTTCTTCTCTTTCTACCTTTCTCAGTCTGCCACTCTTTAAACATGGGCCTATTAAACTCTAACTTTATAGTTTATAAATGGCAATAAGCTGAGGAGGATATACTCATAGGGGGGCTACATATCCATGAGCTGAAGGTGATGCCCGGGTCGAACCGGACCCAGTCTTCGGAGCTGCGGACCGCTGCCTGTACAGTCTCCGGTGAACGGAGGCCCCAGCGTCATTCCGAGTTCGGGTTTAAAATGTATTAAATGAATCCCTGACAACTTCTGTTAGTTTAGCCACAGCGCAGATAAAAGACTCGTCTTACCTTTGCTTTAGTGATGATGTGTGTGGCTAGCTTAACGACCGCGAAATTTCCCTTGCCGATGGTCCGCTCGATTTCGTAGTGGCCCACTCGGGCTGGAGGGGGCCTGGTGGCCGAAGTGTGTCCGGGATTAGTGATGCACCCGCCGGCCGTGCCTGTACGCCCGCTGGGGTTGATCCCAGAGGACGGCGGGGCCCGGTTCTGGGAGCCCATTCCTGCGTGGGTCGGGCGGGCAGGGTGCGTAATTGCGGCCGCAGCGGACCCAGCAGCACCTCCGCTAGACACGGCCGCCATCTTCTCGCCTCTCTGCGGGAACAACAAGCAGCCCTGCGCAGCGCGCATCGCGGACACGCCCCCGCCCTGCGTCATTTTACGTGAAGGGCACCTCCGCAGCGCCCTCTCTAGGTTGTAGCCATGGCAACGATCGGCGTAACAAATGACTTCATCCAGGAGAACGTATTTTGGTTGCCGTGGAGACAGAGAAGTGCGCATTATCACTTTGGTTCCCATGATTCAGTGATTCCTTTCAAAAGTGCTGCGCTATGTGTGATCAGAGGGCTTCATGCGGTGTACGCCATGTTCACTAACATGACTACATACAATATATATAT